TGGAAAAACGTGCCTCCTTGCCAAGCACCGCCTCTTGGTCCTCAGTCACGGCTGAGCTTATCTGTCATTGGACAAACTCTCATTCATTGACAGGGACCTTCATTTATTGACCTTCTTAACTAAGCAACAAAGCTTGTTATTGATTGTTAGTAAGGACAAATAGTGACAGTGCAGACGGTGGTTTGGTGTACTGACAAAAGCAGCGAATAAACAACAGGAAAATTAATCTTTGAGAAGCAATATCAAGCAAACATTAAAAAAACATATTGACCCACAACTAAATAAAGATGATAAAATATGATTATTGTCTTAATAATATGCTACATAGCCAATGCCATGTACTATTGTTTCCTCACCTGTGTGTTAGTTATGGGGATGGAGAGAAAATAGTTTGGTCGCTGGGTTTCTCTCTTCTTTTTCTTTTTGTCTCCATCTGCCTCATTGTCCACACGTCCCCAACTGTCTCCTCTCTTTCTCTTCCGTTTCTTCTGTGTTGACTCTGGGAAGTGGACTAAAGACGTTTATCGTTATATGATTATTATTTAATCATTAAATTCCTGATGATATTCAATTCATAACTATTATTTTTTGCTTACATCCCAGCTCCTTCCATTTTGAGGGACTGGTCAAAGCAAATGGGAGCTCAGACATGAACTTCTTTGCATCTTCTCCTGACTTTTTCTCTGACATTTTTTTCTGCTCCCTCTTCATCTTCCTCCTATTCTTCTCATTTGACCCTGGAGGGAAAACACAAAATATACCAATTTTCAACCAAACTGAGCACACCTACACTGTGAGGATGCTGTGGCAACATGCAAAACAAGTCGTCTTCCAAACTGAAGGTCAGAGGTTTGAGCAATTAAGCTGCGGGATGTTTTGTTCACAGTACTGTATGTGATTAAATAGAGCACTGTTCAAGCACCATTGAACAAGATTGTTTAAGGCTGAAACTTTTACTCACCAGACACTGTTGGAACTTCAGGGTCAGTTCTTTTTGAATGAATTTCTCCCACTTTCTCTGGAGTCATCATTACTTTCACTGATGCTCCATGTACCATCTCCATGTATTCCTCTTCCACGGGGGCTTTAACACTTCCACCACCATCGCCTTCTTTTGCAAATGCAGTGTTTCCTGCGCTCTCCATAATCCCAAGAGACTGCATGGCACGCACTTGACACCAAAATATACAGGTACGTGACCCTATAGCCTAAATAAAGGTGTTGACCAGGTTGTACTTTAATGTACGATAATCATTGCCATTCTTACTGAGCAAGTCTATGACATTACCTTGGAACCGAAAAGCAGTGGTCCAACGGTGGAGACGTTTCTGCAGTGGGTACTGGCGACTGCGCAAAGAAGTTTCTGCAGGGACGCTTTTTTGCAAGCAACCGCTTTCTGGAATTGTGCACTTTTAAGGAACTTCAAACTGAATTTGTGCATTACGTATGAGTTGAATTTGTCAACATGCGTCAATGCAAATCAACTGGTAAACAAAACATTATCTACCTTCCTAATTTTAGACATTTCCAAATGAGGAATTTCCGTAGACTGACCTTGCATCCTCTGATTTGCACCTGTTGAATTAAATCACACTGCTATGCACCATCTGTGCTATTAGTTAGCCAAAGTTAGCTGCTGCAAAATTAAGAAAACGTATCTGACAATTATGCTATATTATAAACGTTTTCTTGTGTGTGTTTTTTTTGTTTTTGGAGAAGATAACGCCCCAAAACCAACGTTGTCAAAGTTTAGACTAATGAGGAGAAAAGAAATTGAACATGCGACGTTGTTGGAAGTGAGCACCGGAAGCAGACTTTGTAAACAAAGCCTTATTTCCTGTCTGGTTTTCAGAGTACACGTCTGCTCATTTCAGAATAAAAGCTCATTGTTACAAATACTGTACAATACTTTTATATGTAAAAAGACAGTGACAGACTTATTTTGTATTAAAAAGGCCTTTTTATGAAAGCTTGAAACCTCATCATCTTATCATGCACTTTGTGGCTTGCAAATGTGTATGTCTTGCATTTTTATTGAACATTACTTTAAAAAAACAACTAGTTTTCATTGGCATCTACAAAATGCTTACTAGTACAATGTACAATGTGTGAATGCTTATTGCACAAAAATAATAATATAATGCAATTTCATTCTACAGCAGTGCTTATGTATGCTTCATATTGAAGTGGTAATGGATTGGAGATGACAGAAAATGCTGCATATATTTTATGTTGATGTCTCTGCATTGTGCACACATCAAATGGAATAAAAACAAACAGGTTCTGTGGAATGGCATCTTGGAGTAAAGTTGCTTTCTTCTCACCAGTTGTTCCAGTGCTTTGATTTTGACTTGAGTTATTTTTCATCAAAGAGAATGTTTTGATCTCCACAGTTTACGTCTTGCCTCTCAATTGTTAAGCAACCCCAATACACTCAGCTCTGTCTATTTTGTTAGAATATTCTTAACCTAAACCTTAAGGCTGCTGCACATGAAGGAAGTGTTTTGTCACAATAATTACAGGCAGGAAAGCAACATTATCCAGTGTCACAGCCGGAGTGTAAGAGCAAAGTGTGCTCACGTATATAGTGAAACCAGCAGAGAGCAGCACTGTACAAGCGTTGCATTCGAATATATGACTCAGTTCTAGTGTAGGGCGTACATAGGTTTCTGCTCAAGGATATTGGTTTGTATTTTCCTTCTCTTTGTAATGTATATACACTATATGTCTACACGTATATATATAGTTATATGGACATGACTATATATGTCATAAGTGTGATTCACTTGTGATAATGTATACATTTTATGCATACATTCTAAGTCATTAATTATTGTCCATGTCAATTAAAAAGTGTATAGTGTTCGATGTCTGCCAGAATTTTTTTTTTTTGTGGCAAATTTTATTAGTATTTCTGTCTGTGGTAGATCTCGTCACAGATTAGCGCTACTTTTTTATTGTAATCATGAGAGCTTTTTAAGAGGCTTAAGATTAAGCAAAAAAGAAAGCCATCAGCCATCAGTTTGTCTGCAGGTGCTGGAATATGTTCTTCTGTCTTTGGCAGACAGTGGCAGTGTGAAAAGGCTTTTTCTCTCCCTTGTCACACTTTCTGCAGGGAGCAAGACAGCTCCCGGTGTTTCTTTTTAAGTCTCATTCAAATGTGATGGCGAACTAAAAAGACAGTTTTGTGCAGATCTTTTTTGAGGAGCGCTGTCTACATAATGACATGCAAAGTCTGCTTGAGACGTAAAGAAACGTACGACTGCGTGTTTGATGGCTCATTGTTAGCTTTTGATGTTAGAGCCAGTCTTTCAGCCCTCTTTACTGGCACCAAACACAAACTTCATTTATGTCAAACAGGCTATATTGCTTGCACTGACAACAAACTGAGTATCATTTGCTTTGATCTCCAATCTTTCAGTAAATGTACAGAAGTTTCCCAACAAAATTTCCATGACACAGTCGTCCTGTGAAAGAGTAATAGAGTAAGAAACAGTAAGAATATTTAATAATACTTTACAAATAGAAATAAAAAGGACTGCAGAGTTCCCCTAATACAAAAAAGTTTATATTTTTTCGTCATTCTCAAATAAAAAAAGAACTACCAAATAGAACTATTTGGCACATTCCTGGACTGCCTGTGCCAAAAAGTTTGTCTTAAAAATGACCTTCACATACAGTACAGTTTAAACAGTGCAAGCATTGTTTCCAGAAATCCTGAGTCATGTTCTTAAACCTTGACATATCCTAACAAATTAAATACCGAAAACGCAGTGTGGGGAACATTGGACACAAACGTAGCAACTCTTCTGTCCGCTATTTTCCATCAATCTTAAATGTGCTTGGCACCTACTTTACTTTGTTTTTTTTTGTTTTTTTTTAATGAAAATAATCTTCAATAATTAAAGGTAATATAATGGTTTGTGGTATGGATTGTAATTAGGACAGGCATTTTATCTCATAAAATATACACAATATATTAGATGATCAGTTTAATGTGAACTGGAAACAATATCCCAGTCTAGGTTCTGGATAAAGTCAAGTAAAAACAATGGTTTATTCCATAAAATATTTTTTCAAATTTTTATTTAGTTGTGATTTTATTATTTCATCTGAAGGAAAAACAACACAGAGACAAAAATCATACATTTTTATTACGTGTGAATGATCACCAGATAAGATAAAAAGCTGCTTTAAAAAAACAAAGGGCCATTACAGCAACTCCAGTGTTTTCATATGAGGTGCCTGATGTTTTTCTTTTAAACGCCATCAACTATTGCAAGATGGCAGAAGCAACATATTTGATTAAAAGTCAAGGCTTGTAGAATCACCCGCACACACACACACACATACACGGGCTTGCAGTTGCAGGCATTGCCCTCAGTTATTATGCATTCATAAATCAAAAGGTTGTGACGGGAATTAATCTAAAACGATGGTGAGTGTGAGTCACAGGATGCAAATATGACAGCTTTATACGAAAACTAGATTGCTTAAATTTGTCTGAATTAATGTGACACTTTTTTGATTAAATACCCCTTCCTCTACCCCCCTACACTACTGACTTGTGCAGAGGGTGTGGTTAGTTAGCTTAAAACAAGAGTTGGTTTCTGCTCTCTTTCAATACAGAAAATGTTAAACTGTTTTCTGCTGCTTTTCCTCTTCATGTTCCGTATGACTAAAGAAAAACTTCCCCTTCAAAAAACATGGAATTTGTTTACACAGTAATCGTTAGCCTGCAGCTTGGTCACACAATGCAACATTTACTGTGCACTAAACACAATGGGGTGGTGAGATACTGCAATCACCCTGTCAGTGAGAGTGACTCCATGTCCCACAAGTGGACAAAGACTGCTATCTGTAATTGCGTTGTTAGCAGCAAGTGTTTTCAAGCAAGAGATAAGCCTCTAAAAAAGTTATTCAGCCCTCGTTCATTTGTAGTTAACCCAGTTTCCTTTTTTGGTCACGGTTTGCAGGGTGTATTATATGTACAGTTAATGAGGCTCCTACCCATATACTGTAGTTCTTCACTTGTGTCAAGAAAACATGCTTTATGCTTTTAATGTTGCCAAAGGTATTATTACAAGTGCAAAAAAGCCAGCAAACCCAACCTCTGTGTAACCCCCTAACCGATTTTTTGAAACAGTACTCTAACAACACAAGCCCATTTCAATCTTGCAATGATCAAAACAAGAACTTATTTTTTTGTGATGCAACATTATAGACAGTTTCCATATATGTGATAGAAATTGGAAAATAAAAGCTAAATCAACATTGTTGATATCATTTTTCCTCTCATCTTGACTGCCATAAACCACCTCTGCACCAGATCTGGAAGGAACAACACTGAGTGCTCAGCCTGTACAGTCATGGCTATTAATCTTACTCAACGTCGCTCTGTAGTGTGTCAGTGATGCCTTTGCTCATTAACTCTCTCTTTGTCCCGTGGATGCAGTTTCCCACTCTTTGGTGCAGAGAAATCCCTGTTTTTCTTATCACAGTTGTGAAGAAGAAACCAAAAATTGGGTGAAAAAAAAATCTTCAAGATGTATTGTTAAATCATTTTGAGCTCACCTGTCGGTTTTATCTCTTTTACAACAAACACAGACTGCAGGTGACATCCTCCCCCAGTTCCATTTGCAGAGAAGACAGGAAGGGGGAAAAATACATTTAGGAAAGAGTAGTTGTAAGTCAAGGGTGACGTGATGTATTTATTGAAATGACAGGAATATGGGGAATGAAGGCATCTAAAGTCATTTCAGCTTTAGAGAACAGGAGGAGGAGGAGGGAGAAGGG